GGTCAGATGTGTTCACTTACCAGTAAGGTCCATGGTGATTGGTCCCGGTGCACTCTCACAAACCAGGGTAAGGCGGGTGACAGTGACATTAGGAGCTGTTGGGTCTGCAGGATTCCAAAGGGAATATGAGCACAGAGAAGAGACATATGCATTTAACTGTGTGTGTGTGCGTTTCAAATAAGATAGAGAAATATAAAAAGAACGATGATGTCTCTGTGGGAAATAGAAATGAAAATGGAAGTGGCAGTTTCTCCATGCTTGATCTTAATGGCTTTATAGATTACAACAATGTTATTTCTGCCACAGGCACTTGTAGGTCCATCTCTATTAGCTAAGGGTAGTTGGGCACTCCTCATTCATATTTTGGGGCCATGGTTTTATTTTATTATGTACATGGAAGAGGTGAATGCCTAGGTGGGATTGAGTAGGGAAAGAGAAGGGGAAAATGTCAGAGGGAAGATGATACTTTTTTATTGAGGTAACTTTAAAAAACACAACTGTAAATGACAGTCTAGAATGTTTTCTAAATTCTTCCTATTTGTTATTTTTGCCTATTCAATTTCAACTTGCTTCTTAACTCCAAAGAAGACTTAATTACAAATAATGTTAAGGGGAAGGATGTCCTAAAGGAACTCTGCAGTTTTGTGGACTCCACCCCTTACTCCAGCTTTCTGGACTCTACCCCCTACTCCAGTGATTGGAAACTACAACTTCCAGCAGTACTATGGAGAGAACTGGGTGGACCCAAGGGCAGAGCTAGGTAGGCATTCTGGGACTTTGGGGGATAAATAGAGAGCCATTTTGTCCAACAGTCTCTCGTTCTCTCTCTCTCTCTCTCTCTTTCTCTCTGTCTCTCTCTCTCTCTCCAGTCAGCCAAGCGGGTAAAATAGTCCAGTTACTTTGTATCCCTCTCTCTTTCCCTGGTTTGTTTCCTTTTTCCCCCCCTTTTGTAAATAAACCCATTATTGACCCTTTTGTGTGTGTCTGCTGAATTTTAAGAGTGAGAGTGAGGCCCCACTGACAGGCAGCCTGGTTCACATGGGGGTGCCCTATAACAATAATTTATGAGCCTATAAGGATCCAACTCACTCATGTAACCCTAGAAACACTCAATACGCTCTCCTATGCACCTGCTCTCAAGTAGCTGAAACATGTGCCTTATCTGGGTCCTTCCACCTGCCCCTCACCCCCATATACACACCTGCTACCACAGGGCCATCCCCCAGGAGCGTTTTCTTGTACTTAGCTAGACTTTCATCATCTTTGTCCATCTCCTGCAGCTCTTTCAGTGACTTCTGAGGTGGAGGCTTGTAATTGAGCTTGCTGTCCAGTTCATCGTCACCCTCCTCCAGGTGTGGTTCTGGGGTCTCTTCAGTCATTTTGATCTCTGTCAGAGAAAGAGGATACTAGTCCATTAGCTGAAAGTCTACGACTGTGATTTTTTTTTTACAGCATCCTTACCCTCCATAATTGGTGGTGGTCTTTCAGGAGTGCCCCTCCCCTCCCCCGGATGCAACTTCATTATAGTTTTTCATGAAATAAGAATATAATATATTCCAGTATTTTCTTTGACCTGCCTAGATTTCATTGTTGTATGATTAGTATTTCTTTTTGTTTTCTTTACTTCATCTTTTCAATTAGTTTGATTAATGATGAATATTTCTTATTCGTTGAGTAGACTGAAAAGGAAGAAATAATTCATTCGTGAATAATATGCTCTCAGTGAAGAAAAAGCAAAAAAGACCTGAATAATGAATAAATAGACTAATCATCATGGCCACGAAGAGTCTCTGGGATTAAATTCTCTCTTTGATCTAGTAACTAAGAAAGAAATTGCAGCAAACTCCAGCCAAGACTCAGACATTTTGAACAGGATTGGCAACCCAGGGGAAGCAGGAGAAAGCTGAAAGCAAGGGAAGAAGAAACTAGTGGGCAATATAGACTAGGAACCCGTCCCCCTCCCCCACCTACAAACCTAAAACACCTGACTAAGGAGGAGAAAAACTGAAAGCTGAGAAAAGCTGAAACATCTGAAAACCACAGAAGGAGAAACAAAGCTCAGCAGGCTGATTTGCGTGGAGAGGAGTATAACAACTACAGATCCCCAGGGTGAGACCTGTGGGGAGGGTAAGACTCAGTCTTCTTGCCCCTGTTGGGGGTAGAGCAGGGTCCTGGCCGCAGCCTGTGGGATCACCTGGCCCTCTGACAGCCAAAGGCAGGATGGCAGTAGGGAGTGGCACCCAGTGTCCAATACTGGACATTAGCCTTGGCCAGGGGAACCTCTGCTGCTGAAAACAGACAGAACTCTGCCCTGAACAGGGAGACTTGGCTTTCGCTCCTCAGAACCTTTGGGGTCTGGTGGGGTGTGATAGCTCCTGGTGGTAACAAGAAAGGCTGCAGCTCACTGGAACAGGCAGGGATCCCCTGTGGTAATGGGCTGCACACTAGTCATAACTAGAAGCTGGGCAGTGGCAGAGTGGTCACTACTAGCACATATTACCTCATCAGAATTGGAAACTAGGCCAGGGGTGGGGCCACTGCCAACAGGAGCACAAAGCCCCCTAACAAAACAGAGGGACCACCCCTACCAACAAGAACATGCATCCCCCAATCACAATCACAAGCTAGGAATCTCACCACTGGCCCCTCCCCAACCCCCTTAGAACAGTGGAAACACAGAGGGAATCACCAGATACCACGCTCAAACTCACCACCATACTCACAACATCATCACCCTTGTGGAGGATTAGCACATTAGTCCTTGATGGGTCTGAATTCCGGTCCTCCGCCACCCCCAGAAAGAGCACCCAGAAGAAATGCTGGTCAATACTAGCAACACAGTGTCTCAGTGCATATGAATAACTAAACCTAGTTCAAATAGTATTAGAAATTGCCATAGTCCTCCAAATCTGTCCCACCTTACAAGTGTCAAAACTCTTATGTACAATTCTAAGTCTGATGGCTTTCAGAGGCAAATTCTTGCCAAAGATAGGTGACATTTTCTTCAATCTTTCTCTCAACCTGTAAAAAACCTCATGGGCAACTCATGAGAAGTTGTGGCCCCTATCTGAGGGGTCTAAATGATTCCAGTCAATGTTGCTAACAATTTCTTGAGGGTAGATAGTAGCTTCTGTGTTTCTCTTGAATTTAGCATAACACATAGATAGTCAGGACTTTGCTACAAACATTTGTTCCTTTGTAATGAATGAACAAAATAGCAAAGCACTCTTTAAATTCCTTTATGCCAAATTGTAAGTACCAGTACATCTTTGCTACCCTTCCATTTATCTCCCCATTTCCCTTTTAGTACCTCCTTGCCTAATCAGATTTCCAGTGACTTGATACTTCTGAGCATACTCTGGAGTCTGTCTGCTTTCATCATCATGCGCATTAACTTGTTTTGTGTTAAAACATTGGGGTGGGGGGAGGACCTAGTGAAATCATTTACACTTAAGGGCTACTGACTGGAAAGCAGATTTTAAAAATTATTCTGTTGGGCATGTGTGTAGATCTTTTCAGAGCTAAAAGAAACTTGGAGGTGGCATCTTCCAATCCCTCAGTTGCTCACTGATAAATGGACATTCAAAGAGGTTAAGAGAATTACTCAAATTCACATAGCTGGATGTGATACAATAAAGAGGAAGAAATCTCTACTGGAAGAATATTAGAAGCTATGCCTGGCAGCAGTGCACCTATGTGGAAACAAGGGTCTTTGGACAAGGCAATTATTTCCTCGTATCTTCTCTTTCTCCCCCAAGGTTAACCTGCTACCTGCCCATGGATAAAGGGCTACTCATTGCTTAGTAGCCCTTAAGTGTGAATAATTTTACTTAAACTTTTGTAAGGCAGTATCTGTCACATCCCATCCTGAGTGACTCTCAACCTCTATGAAGTCCATTGGGAATGACATTATCTCTGGCCTAAATCATTTGTGCCTCTGGGGTTTCAGTGTCACTCTCAGTGGTAACAGGAAGAGAAATATTTGGAAATGAAGCCAAACAAAAGCATTTTCATAAATGATTTCCCTTGGCTCCTCAGTTCTCACCTAAATAACAAGTCAGACATGATGACCGCTGATCAGCACTGCAATGCCCACATCCACTTCCTGTACAGGAAGGAAACATGCAGGTCCGTCCCTATGGCAACCCCTGCTTCAGCTGAAGACCCGGCACCACTCAGATCTGAGCTTCTAGAGAATAGGACAATAAACACCATGACTAATCCAAATATCACTGTGAAAGTGAATTAACTGGTTGGATAAAGAATGAAGGATGCCATGGGTAGAGGTCGTAGCTGGACAGTTTAAGGTCTGTCATTAAAAGGCAGATGACACTAATCAGATCAGACAGGTTCTCTGGTGACACTTAGAAGCCTGACCAGATACGCAGGTCACATCAGAAACCCAGGGATAGGCTATTTACAGATGAGGTCATCTCAGGCTCCTGGGGCAGGCCTTTCTGAATAAATTGGTTCTAATTTGGCATCTGTTTGATGTCTAACCATCACATAAGGACATCTCATTCAATTGCAATTAGTTAAAAATGATTTCAGTAACCTGCAGAGAACTGTAACTGCATCCTCAAATCTCTATTCTGAGTAGAGAAAGAGAAAGGTATCTGGCTTAGAACTAGATTTGCTCACTTCTGTGTGGTCAATCCACCAACATTACTATGAAAATCTGAGTAATCTAAAACCGTTATCAGTTCTAAATTTCCTAGATTCACTGTATATAGATCTGATAATAGTTGCATAAAAATGAGACACAAATGTATTTAAAGACCCTGAAATGTAGAGGACAGTATGGAGTTACTATATGAAATCATTGCAATCAGGAGGAGGAAATTCAGGACCATATTTAAATAGTTTGATATAATTATTTAATGTTAGAAAAAGAGGTATAAGGTCAGGTGACCCCAAACCAGTACATTCTGTAAAACTGAATAGAAAACATGAAAGCTGAATAAATAGTTGCTTCTGGGATACTGTGCTTTAATATAGTGATGTTTAATTTCCTTTTCAAAGTGGAGAAAGAATTGGAAGATGGATCCAGCTGGTTGAATGGCTGGATCTTGTTATATTTTCCAGGTCTGAAAAAAACTGAATGAAAGTCATAATCTTTACAAAAGGTATAGAGGAATAAGACCATGAAATTGTTCATGAAATCCGAGGTTTTGTGGATCCCTGGAGTCCGTCGTAGATGTTTTTGGAGCCCAAGATCAGGACTATAACCTTGAAGCCATAACGTGTAGCAGAATCGGTTGCCACAAAGGAAGTGTGCTTCTCTCTTAGGCCTGGCTGGATCAACGGAACAACTTGGCATCAAGCTAAAGATCATGTCTACGAACCCAAAAAGCTGGCTACTTAGAAGTAGGAGGAGACATCAGGTAACATTTATGTCCAAGGGGCAGTGGCCACTAGGCAGAGGTACAAAGCTACAGGAGCATTTATTTAGAAAAGTTCTTGGTCAGTCTGCCTGATTTTGGATATATCTTGCTTCTCTGGTCTAGGCCCCATTACACATAGATTTTGGTTCTGACTTCGTTCTCTGTGACCCTCTGAGCAAATGATTTTCAACACTGTGGAACTTACTTTCTTCTGGGAGATTGGGGTGAGGGTGGTTAGAGTAGACCACCTCTGGGTGCTTTCTTTTACAAAGATTTTCTGCACTTTTCTCCTGACCTGTGGCTATATGTCAGCTAAATTGTAGGCATCCCATTATTTTATTTCATCTGTGTATGTAGGAGATATTTCTGTTTTATTTCTAATTTATGAGAATTCCCCAAAGATGCTGTTTCTAATTTTATATTTAATCACAGATTTTCTCATAGTCCTGGCTGATAGAATTTCTGAATGATTCAATGAATGATTTCTATGGCTTAACAATGATTTCCCAAACTCTATGCCTATGATGAACAACAAATATCAGTTCTCTCTTTTTAGTCTTCCATTCTATGTGTGATTGCTAAAATAAGAAAAAAAAATGTTTTATGAAATCCTACAGACTATTTTCTAATCTCATCTTCTAAAAAAACTGGTTTTATTATTGATGATTGTAATTACGATTGTTATCATACATGACTGCTAAGTGCTTGCCTGAGGATTGTCTTATTTAGTCTTTGTTTACCTTAAGTGTGAGCATTATCATCATCCTTTTCTACAGATCAGGAAACAAGCTCATGTAAGAAACTTGCCTGAGAAGACAAGTTGGGTAAGGGCCATAGTTAATGTCTAAGATTGTCTGACTTGTAGTTACTACAAGTAACTCTTGTAGCTACTACAAGTAGCTCTTGTTAAGAAGTGGCACACCATTCATCTTGGAAATCTCCCTCAGGGCCACAAACAGGTAAATGCTTCTTTGCAAACTCTGTAGGGACAACTTCGACAAAGCAAGGACGCATCATGTGTGTCATATAAGAAGGGTTTTAGTGCAACTCTGCCCCATTCCCTTGCCCAGGTCACAGAGCCTGTGTTCCATTTTCGTCCTCTGCAAAATGAAATGGTTACATTAGGAGAGCTCTGTTGCCCCTCCTCAAGGAATGACTCCAGCACTCCTTAATATAAAGAAGACTGTGAAGTATGAAAGCAAAAGAGGAAGTGGAGGGTGAGGAGGAAGAACCCAGCCACCAAGAGCATTCTGGTTGACTTTTTTCACCTTCCTCTGAGCTAGCTGATTGTTCGGCAGGGACCAGGGCCGAGTTGTTTGCTTCTTCATATATTGTTCTTTGTATATTATTTGCTTCTTCGTATATTGTTCTTAACTCTGGTTCTTTACACAGAAAAAGTGAAATGTAGAGTCAACAATTCTATGTTTTATGAGGCTAATGTGGGCTTTTTTCAGGACACAAGCACATATAGCTGTTTTTCAGGCACATGTGGCACTCATTATCTCTACTTCCTGCTTCACAGTTGCCTACACAGATGAATTTTCACAGTGGAACCCTCATATCCCCATGTTTGCTGTTCATTGGAATGATGTCAAGCAGTACATGTGCTCAGATGGGAATTTAACCTCCTCATGCACAATTAAAAGACCATTAAACTAGAATGTATACTCATGACATGAATATGACCCAGCACACACTTGGTGTTTTTCAAACTGGTGCAAATTCAGTGACATTTCCAACACACTGAAAACAAAATCCAGAATTTACAGTAGCCTCAGGAGAGAGCATACTTGTCTGCTTTGTTGGGTTTTAAAGGAGTCACCTTCTGAGAAAGGTAGACACCTTCATGTCTGTAGAGACTGGGATCAAGTGAGGGGATTGAAAACTTGACTCTGTGACTGACTTACAAATAGGATTCAGGCAACTTCATGGAGACCAAAATTTGCCACCAGGAGAGTGGGAATAATATTTCTTCTTGGGTTGAAAAGTGGAGAAAATGTGCAAAGTTCCCCTGATAGGACTGCATTGGTCCACAGCAGGTGTTTGATAGCCCTCCTTCCTTCCCTTTTTTTCCCTTCCCTGCCATGCTGCCTGTTTTATCGCAGAGCTCCAGTGAAACAAGGTGACTGGTTGTCCAGGCACCAAGTACTCTCTCTTTACTCTGCAGTGTTGACAGTGTACTTTAAAAAAAGAAAAACAAACAAACAAAAAAAGTGTCCACTCCTTAAAAATAGATTTTGTTTCTTTGAGATGCAGAGAAGAGACAAGAAGTTCTGGGAATTGTAAGGAATGTTTATTAACTGAATCAATCTTAGAATGGAACTGTAACTATCATATTTAAAAAAAAAAACTTCCACATGAGCAATTTAATTTTAGATGCTATTTATTTTGCTTCCTTTCATAATTAAAGCCAGAGGTCACTCTGTGAATGATGAGAAATGATGGAGATAGAGGCATAGCTAATTGAGAGAATTCCCACTGGCTTTGCTGCAAAATACTATGGAGACTTAACTCATTTCCCAAAGCTGGTATCTGCCAGATCATGCATCTTGTTGCACAGACCACAAACCATAAACAGAAGATAGAGGCCAGAATGGCAGAGAGAAAAATGAGGAAGTACCAGAAGTAGGGAATTTCCATCAGAGAAGTACCTGTGAAAACAGCAGCCTTCTGTCAGCCTTATCTCTCTCCTTCCCACAGAGCTGGACCCACCCTACTTCCCCCAAATCAAGAGCTGCTGTTCAAGGCTCTGCAAGGAAGAGTTGGGGCCATTTCTAAAGGAACTGCCATCACTTCTGAGCTGGTCAAGGAATTGGGCCTGCAACCTGCCCAGTGACTTGGGAAAATCCAACTTTGTCACTGGGGACACCAGAGCTGCCCTGGTTCTGGAGTTCTCCTTGGTGTCTCAATGTTTCTGAGCAACATGGAATAGTTGGGGCTTCTTCTCTACCCCCTCGGTCCCTGAGAAGAATGTCTGAAAAGCTTGATGAGATAAACCAACCTGTGCTGGAGATGACTATCTTGTTACATTTGTTTAATGAATACATTAAAATATATTCAAAGGAGCAGACAAATGATAAGGAGCACACTTCTTCAAGTGTTATTGGTGGTAGAAATGATACAGCATTTCCTGCCTGTGCATTCTTAGTACATGGTACTAACCCAGATTCACATGTAGAGGAGAAAGAACTCAACCTATCCACTCAGCTTTCAGACAGTATAATGTGAGAAGCCACTGTGCTAGGTATTGCATAAATATTTATTTAAAATAAGTCTGAACAAATGGCACGAAAGAAGCCAGTTTTAGATAAAAGACTACTGGAATAACTCAAGTCAGTCACAAAAGGTTTAAATTAAGCATGAAAAGTTAGTCAAAATTAAAGGCAATTTTTTATGCTGACTTCTTGTGCTTAACTATCAGTCCCTTTAAAAAAGCCAAGTGAATTTTTTACCAGCTCTGGCTATGGGCACCAGGATGTCTGGACCAGCACTAAGTGACTCAGAAATTATTTATTGGATGGACAAATGTTGAAGTTCTGTGAGCAACATGAGGTCCATCTCTGGGTGTGCCAATCTGCATTCTAATTCAGGATTTCAGTTGGCAATAATACTGCCCCAGGAATAAGGTCCTGAGAATGTAGGATTAAAGAAGGGGACATTATGTTTTAAATGTCATTCTAAGGCTCTGTAGCTATTGGGTCCCATTTGTACTGGTATGTGACTTCAGTTAACTCAAGTGACAATTCTGAGCCTCCCTGTATCCTCTCAGGGTTCAAATCTGAAAGTTTCTTCAGTCAAGTCATGTATCCCCACTGGGTCTGCTCAGGGTTCAAATTGAGTGTCTAACCCCACTGACACAAAGAAGGCATCAACAGATGTGGTTATGTTCTCTGAATTTTTAACCCCCTTTAGTCTTTCTCTTCCTGCTGAAGTTTGTCATGCATTGTATTCCCATAAATTGGCTCAGACACTTGTCTTTCAGTCAGAATGACTTTGCTGTGCCTTTTCACAGAAAACAGAAGCTAAATGCTCCTTGGAACTGCCTCCCTAGGGACTAACTCATGCTTTGCCAAACAAGGAAGGATCAGATTCTAAGTGCTTACAAGATGCCCGTCAGTTCCTCTGTAGCATGGCAAGTTTACTAGTGCTGAATTTGGGTAGCATGGATAGAGATCCGATTGCCCCTTCAAAATTTCACACATACCACAGGAAAGTAAGATGACCATGCTGTTATGCTGTCTCATATCTGGATTTGGGCAGTCTACTGTATCATAAATTTATAAAACAAAGCAATAGCGAAGAGGAATAATGCCTGCCTATGACCGACTACCCCTCCCAACCACACATACATCCAGGATCAACACAGACCCCTTGATTTCCTTGAGTTGATTATTTCTGCAGGGAGAGTCCCACAGCTGTGCCTGGTTTAGACGGCTCAGGGGCTCTATATGAAGGAACTGTCATGGGAAGGCAGTATACCTGCCCCCCCCCACCTTTGAATGGGGTTATCAGACCCATACCAAAAGTTATCCTAGGTGTACAACTTAATCATAGACTATAAATTGTAAGACACACTGACTGACACATTCACACAAAGGAAAGAAATGATTGCAGATCAAACCTGGTGCCTTTCTAATGGCAACCAAATTGAGAACCTGGCATTTCCACATTTAGAACTTGGCCCACTGACCAAGGGTCCTAGCTGGGCCCATTCGTTTTTTTTCTAGACCCAATCTCTTAATAGACTTTTCAGATCATCTGTGTTTGTTTTTGGGTGTAAAGAATTATTTTTGGATATAAAGAACTGTACTTTGGAGTCAACAGCAGACATCTTTCTGCCAGTCTCATTGCAGGAATTTAATATCTGGTTTTTGTTATCGGTAGAAATTCTATCACTGTGCAACTGGTGAGAAATAGAATGATCTACTACAATTCTCCTTGAGAGCTAAATCCCATTGTACTCCGAGAGAGGCTTTTACCAGGCACTTTTCTTATATCACTAGAAGACTCCTTAGAGGAAAACAGTTTCAAGTTTGACAGCTTTGAACTTTTTTTTTTCTTCATTTCAACCAGTCTCTTAAAATCAACTTAAAAAACAGGAAACCACATATCTCCACCCCAGCACCAACCCACCATGTACCAAGGCCTCACATATCAGTTAGTATCTACAGTCTTTTTGCTTCTGAGCTTTGTCAGATGCCTGCTGTTGCCTCAAGGAGACCCCTGGGGCACTCCCCATGGTCTATACTCAAAGCCCCTCTCCCAGGCGCCCTTCCCTCACTAGTCTGCCTCCCCTGAGTCATTGCTTCCATTCCCTGCTCTGACTTCCCCTTACATGCAGAACTGTTCCAGCAGCTTTATTACTTTCTTACCATAAACTTTGTCAAAGAGTAACTGTCCCTCCAAAAAATCTAACCAGAGGATTGTAGCCTAGTGCAGACATTTCCTATATTTTTCTGTGCTCACCTGTAGCCTCCCCAGCCCCAGGTTTTTCAACTTACATTCAGTAGTTCAGTCTGTCCGGGGTGCCTCTGTCTTCTCTCAACTGTGACTTCTGAGTACTGGCAGTTAGAACAGGAAGGAAGTTAGTGAGAAAAAAAAATATTTTAAACCTACTAGAAAAGGAAACCCTGGGCTGTCTCAAATCCTGTTCCTTTGCACTGCATAGCTCTGATCAGCGACTCTGAGCAGTAACCTTGCCAATTCATGGCACATGTGGGAGGGAGCATGACTGTCCAACTGAACATGGACATGCATGAGTATTCATGCAAACATGTGCATTCTACAGCCGTGAATATTAGGAAAATTGTGCAGATAGGTCTGAAAAATCAAGTAATTTCTGCGTATAAGCTGAGGCTAGTAGCCTAAAACCAGTGGCAATCAATTCCCATAAGCTTTACATTGCATCACTAACTTCTTTTCCTGTGGGGTCTCTGCCAGCTTCTTTATCAGCCAGATATGTTGAGTTTGCTGGCAGTGAATGCAGAGTGCTAAGAAAGCATAATGCCAACTGCAGATTCTTGGCCCTAAATTTAAAAATTTGTCCTTAAACAGACTTTTGGAGATTTTTGGTTATAATTTCGAGATGTTGCTTTGTATTACAACACAAATAATCAAATGTTGTTTTCACTAACTTTTCTTTTTTAAAAAAACCTGCAGCACTATTTTTGATTAAATCTAAGAATACAGATTACAAAATAATGTAAAACTTCATTAATGCATAGTCTTCTAGCTCAGAATTTGTGACAATTTAACAAGTGCTAAAATTGACTTTGTACCATATTTGAGGAAATAGGTTGTGAAGTAATTGAAATGGAAACAAGTTACAGAGGACATATGTAACCATTTGAGGAAACAATTTTAAGTCCCTAAATCATACTTCTTCTATACATTTTCATAGCGGATGCCAATAATAAATGCTTATTTATACTCATATTTCAATATTCAGTATTTATACTGTTTCATTATCTTTAGGGCCCACAAATCAAGCAAATGCATTTGTAGACACTGACATTGACTTTGTTGTTACCGAGATGACTGTGTTTTATTTACTTCATTATGTTCCTTGATGCCACTGGTAATATGTTACCCTTAGTGAAACTGACCTGATCAAGGAGATGGAGGTTTGAGAAAAAAGACTAATGTTAAAATAATATAACCCAATACTATCTTTTCTTAATTCTTCTCTTGTAGCTTATTGCATGTATTTACCAGTTAGGAAAAGAGAAGATTGAGATTCCTTGAAGAGGACAAATGCAACAGATCTCTGCTTCTAGCCCTCGCTATTAATGAGGGCTCCCTTCTCTGCATCTAACCTACCCAATGTAAGAAAATGCCTGTTCTGGTAATAAGAATGCTCTTACTCCAAGGGCCTTAGCCCTGTAATGCAAATGAAGTCACCAGAATTTGGAAACCAGAAAAAAAAGTGATCAAGTTCTGAGGTATTTTCCTGCCTTTCCTATTTGTTAGAAGGATATACTGATGGTATTCGAGGCAAATATAAATCTATAGGGTAGCAACTTTGCCAGAAACAAAAGTGACTGTTACGTGATGAAACTTCCTCTTTTTGCATACTGTTTCTTGGAGGCTGCAAGTCAAGACAATATACTTTCAGAAAAGACTTTCTTCCCTGAAAGCTGCCTCTTTTGAAAGGCATCCATGTAGCACAAATGGTAGCCTGAGGTGAGGAAGAAATGAACTTCTGGTGGATATCCTGGTGCTATGACTTTCTGTCTGTGTGTCTGTGCCAATGGTTTTATTTCTCTGAGAGTTCGTTTTCTCACGTGTGCAAGAGGGATAATATCAGCCTTCAGAATTGCTGGGCAAGGATGAGAAAACACGGGCAGAGCTCCTAGCTCAGAGTGAGTGCTCAATAAATAAGTGGTCTAGGTTAAGGACACCAGTACCAGCAACATCGTGTCCATATTACATTTTGATCCTTATTAATAAAGAGCAAATATTGGAATGACTAGGAGTCAGTTTCATCAGAATGCTCCCAGTCACCTACCTATATCTTAAATATTACCTTCTCCTTCTTGGAAGCTTTTCACCCCTGAAATCTTTATGTATGTGTCTTTTTATTTTCTGAACATTTAGAGCATGCATTATTTATGCAACAGAATTTAATACTTTAGTGAACAGTGCCTTGTATTGTTAAGTGATTCATTCTGGATATTAGAATTAATTCTCTACCCAAATATAAAATGCATGAGAAAAGGCTTTGTTTGGACTTAAGTTGCTATTGATACAAAGATAGAAATAAAATATTTAAAACTGTGAGCTTAGGAAAAGAAATAAATGTGGGTTGTGAAGAGTCTGGTAAGTAAGGACTTAAAGGAACTACGTGGGGTAATGGCTGCAGGGTTTAGTCTCAAAGGATAGTTAGCGTTGGGTAGTTGGAATGGGATGGCAGTGAAGAAGGTATCTGAGGTGGAGGGGAAGCATGAATAAAAGCAAGGAACCCTAGACAGGGTGATAGGTGCAGAAATTGTAAGGATGTCATTCAAGGTTGTTTGGGCTGCACTGCACAGTATGTAAGGATAAGAGATGCGTTGAGGGAGCCAGAGTCTAAGTCACAGTGGACATCCAGAATGTGGTTACCAGAAAGGGAATTGGAGTGGGTCAAATTGAGTAATAGGGATCAACTGCATAAGGTGGTGGATAGAAACTAGACTTTCTGTGGTGATCCTTTTAGTACATACAGAGATTGGAATGTAAAGCTATATGTGTGAAAGTTATGGGGAAAAAACAAAACAAAAACACTTAGATTATGAGAACAAAATGGTGGGCACTATGAGGAACATTGGGCAAAGGGAGTCAACTGCATGGTGTTGGTTGGATCCTCCTTTGGGAGGATCATAATGTGGCATATGCGAAGGTGAACTATTCTGATGTACACCTGTAACCAATATAAAGTTATAAACTAATATTGCTTCAATAAAAAATGAAAAAAACAAGCAAGGTCACTCAAAGGGTGAAGCAGGGACTGGCAGATTAACATCATTCAGGACTTTGTAAAATGCTAATTCTAGGCCCTCCCTGGTGGCGCTACGGGTTAGGATGTAGCACTGCAAGTAGCCACATTTGACCCCATTTGACCCCCCAGCCCCTGGCGTGACCCACATGGCGCAACAGACCTCTCCGTCTCTTCTGCTGCTCCCTTCAGCAGTGTACTTTACTTTGTCAATCTGCCTGTTCTGCTCCCCACTCTGTCTCTGGTGAATCCTTTCACTGCCCTGCACCTCTAGCCTACACCCCAGTTCTGTATGCATAAGTAATTAAATCGTTAAAAAAAAATGAAATGCTAATTCTTAGGCCCGGCTCCAGACCTATTATATCAGACTTTTTGGAGTTGGAATCAGGAAACTTTATTTTTAAAACTGGTATAAGTTGTGAGGGTTGAGAAAATGCTGGCTTAAGTCATAAATAAATGAGACCACCCAGAAAGAGAAGTTGACCAAACATGGGAAAATACTGTTTTATGAACGCTCTACTTTTTATAGCCTATTGATTACTTCTCATTTACATCTCTGCTAACTCCCTACTCCTACCGTCATCATTTCTCACTGGACCTATATGTTTTCCACTTCTGTGATAGCCTGTTTTACTCTCTATTCTTCTCACACTCATGAACACTTCATTCCTTCCACCTCAAACTCCAGGGAATGTTCACCTGTTTATAAGCCTGCAATTATGCTCACGCTGGTAACCAGCCTTCAAGACAGACCTCAATGATCCTGCTAGTCTATCCTTATCGCAGTCATGAAGTTGGTTTGTGTGAAAAGTGCAATGTGGCAGAAGTGATGCCATATTATTTCTGAGGTACCTTTTCTTTTGTGGGAAGTTAGGTGCCATGTTTTGAGAACCCTGAGTCCCCTAGGAGTGATCTGAATGATAAGGAACTGAGGCTTTCTGCCAACAACCACACAAGTGAACTGTGTTGATCATGAACCCTGTAGCCCCAGATCTGTCCCCCAACAGATTGACTAAAGCCTCCAAAGGAATCTGAGCAGAAACTAACCAGTTAAGCTACTCCTGGATAGACCTTCTGAAAATGTGCGTAATCACAAATGCTGGTGGTTATAAGTGGACAAATTTGGGGGTACTTTTTATACTGTTACTGGTAACTAACACACTCATGATTTGGTCCTTGTACCACTCCAAATTCATCTCCTAGCGCTCAGCCTTTGCTCCCTCCATGCCAGTTGCCTACTCCCTGACTGGAGAAGCAGGTTCCATTCAAGAGTTATTCTCTGCAACAAGAGGATTCATCAGAGACAGAGTGGGGAGCACAACAGGCAGATCTACTGAAATGCACTGCTGAGGAAGCAGCAGGTGGGTCAGGAGAGGTCTGTCACGCCATGTGGGTCAACTCCCTGGTGGGGTATTGAACTTGTTCTGCAGTAGCAGCAGAGAGCTTCATAATGCAGTGCTTTAACCCGTTGCACCAGGAAGTAGAGCCCTCCTTAACTGTGCTTTTAATGAATGATTGTGGGGAACATTTTTTCATGGGCTTGTTTGCCAACAGTATATCCTCTTTAGTGAAATATTTATACATCTTTTTAAAAATTTTTTTAAAGATTTATTTATTTATTCATACAGAACTGGAGTACAGGCCAGAGATGCGCAGGGTGAGAGGATTCACCAGAGACAGAGAGGGGAACAGAACAGGCAGATCAACGAAATATAGTGCTGAGGGGAGCATTGGGCGGGTCAGGAGAGGTCTGCCTCACCATGTGGATCTCCTCAGGGGCAGGCGGGGATGGAACTCATGCGGAAGTGGCTTAAGCTTCTTAGTGCAGTGCTTTAACCTGCTGTGCCACTAGGGAGGGCCCGAAATATTTATACATCTTTTTAAATCCATCTTGTAATTGGATTGTCTTTTCATTATTGAATTTTGGGATTTCTTTATATATTCTAGATACAAATTTTTTTTTGTATGTTATTTACAAATATTTTCTTCTGGTATGTGATTTCTCTCTTCATTCTCTTAGAGCAAATCTTTAAAGTTTTGATTAAATCAATTATATCATTTTCTTTTATTATGGCCAGTAGTTTTGCTAACAAGTTTAAGACCTCTTTCTTTTATTGTTTTTCAAAATGTGTTTTGATTTTTTTTACACTTAAGTCTGTGATACATTTTGAGTCTTTTTATACAAGGTATAAATTTTAGACTCAAAA